TGGTTCAAGAAAGGTTGTTAACTACTGCAACGCCAGAAGGCGACGGCTCTGTCGGGGGTAAAGGATGCTACTCAACTATATTTGCTTTCATTTAGTTGCTGGCGACTACGCAGTGACCTCATCCAAACCTACCGGATTGTTATAGGCTATGGGCGTGTCCTAGAGTTCGGTGGCTTTTTATAGTGGTCTACGACAGACCGTCTGCCCGGTCGTTCCTTTAAACTGCATAGGAAACTGTTCTACACTAACGTCCAACGGGGAACCTTCTCGAAGTGAAACTTTAGAGCCCGGAAAAGGCTGTCCGATGCACTGGTGCTTCCGAATACCGCTTGAACATTTAAACACAGAAATGATACTCATTTTCTGAGAAAAAGCTATGTCGTGACCAGGCAGTGAGAGTAAGTATTCTGTGCGCTACAACCACCTGGTCGAATCCCAGTTTTGAAAGGGATAGAGACAGAAAACACCAGAATGAGGGGTTTAATGTGCACAGAATCCGGAGTTGTCCTCTCAGGCGGCGGTGGCCACTGGCGAAGCCAGATCTGGTGTTGACTGCGTCCAGTCATGCCTGAGAGTGCCCGAGACTGTGGTGGCAGCGACTTTTGTAGGCTCGTGGGCCAAGCTCAAGTGGTGTCCAGTCAGGGTGTGTTGCATTTGCCGAGGGGTGATGTCCCAGCGGCTTGTTATGCTGGTTGCAGGGGGTGGCGCGTTCAAGTGGCGCATGTGTAGCCGCGACGCTGTGTGGGCGTAATTTTGTCCGAGTTGAAGTCGTTCGAGTGGTTTCAGGTCAGCTCGTCTGGGACGGCTCGCTGCAAGGGGTGTATGACCTTGAGGCATCGAGGTCTTGAACAATGATGCCGGACCAGTCATGATGGCTAGCCGCCACAGCTCCCCGCCAAACACAGAACGATGTGACGGTGTCGATCTTGAGGCAGACTATGATATGTGTGAAATTATCCAGTGCACATGCGAATTTGAGAGCGTGTGTTGATGATGACAGGGATAGCTCGGACCGCTTATAGAATAGAATAGGTTTATTGTAGCGCCCCTAGGGGATGCTGCGACCTGTACAGAGGTGCAGTTGAGGCATCAACCCTGGGTGTTCTGGCGTGGTCTCGTCAACGTGTGCCGGTAAGTTAACACGTTGGTATGAAACGGAAGAACGTTTCGGACACAAGGCATCCCAGTGAGTGCTGAGTCGGAAGAATGCGTCAGTGAAGTAGGCTCACTGTCATCCAGACACAAAAATTGGGATAGAATGCGATGTCGAAAGTGTTAAAAATCCTCGCTGGATATACGGTAGCATGTGAAGTGCATGAAAGTAACTCATGAATGATGGGTTCGTTGGTAAGGGGCGGAAGAATGTCTCAGACAAAAGATATGATGTTCAGATGGCAACACATTTGTAGGTCTGCTCTACACAGTTTGACTGAGGTTTGACATGGACTTGAATAGCAGAGTTTTGTTGACAGCATCCATCTCGAATCGCGACAAGGTGACGGCAGCTGCGTTTTCCTATTCGTGGACAAGATGAGTGACACAGGAAAAACAGAAGGGCGAAGTTGAGTGTGAATTTTCTGGCGGTTGAGTTCAGCCACGTCTGGAGATTGCGCGTCGATCACGTCGGAGTTGTCACGAATTTGTTGCGGTTATACGGTGAGAATATGTGCAGCGTATGAGCTACAAACGCCAGGCCAAATCCTAGTGGTGGAAGGAAGAAAACAGAAGGCACCAGAATGGGGGGTTTATTGTGCACAGAACTCGGAATAGTCCTCTCAGGCGGCGGTGGCCATTTGCGAAGCCAGGGTTGGCGTTGGCTGCATCCAGTCATGCCTGAGAGTCCCTGAGATAGTGGTGGCAACCGCTTTTGTAGGCTCTTGGTCCAAGCTCAAGTGGTCTCCAATCGGGGTTTGCTGCATTTGCCGAGGGGTGGTATCCCGGTGGCTTAGGTTGTGCTTGCAGGGGGTGGGGTACGTTCAAGTGGCCGCATAGGCAACTGCGGCTGTGCGGACGCAGGTGTGTTTGAGCTGAAGTCGGTCGAGTGGATTCAGGCCAGCGCGTCCGGAACGGCTCGCTGCAAGGAATAAATGACCTTGAGGCATCTAGGTCTTCAACAATGAGAGCCAACCAGTCATGATAACTAACCCCCACAACTACGCATAATCAAAATTGTATCAGTGATGACACATACCAACGGTTTTATACATTCCATAATTTCTACCGTAAAACCGGCTGTTTTGTTTTCTTGGATATGAATAGAGAACTCAGGTGTGAAGGTACTACTCCTCAAATAAAGTTGTTTAAGGACTGTCTTCTTTAATTTCAGTCAGGCTTTGCCATTGTTCAGTTTGGTTACAGTGGAAAAAATAAGCAAACATCTCTGACCTCAAACGCTTGCTCGTGGAAAAATGGGTAATTTTTAAGTTTGCCTCACCGAGCAGTTAGTTGGACTGAGGCATTACTTTCTGTTGGATCTACACACTTTTCAAATTTTCTCTCTACCGAGGACTAAGGCAGTAGGCTGTTGTCGGCTTTAGTCGTTGACTTGCTGTTACAACAAAGCATTGGCAACAGACCAGTCAGACTCTTTAAAAACCTCCTTTTGCTCCATCTGCAGTTGCCCGCACATTTCGTGAGTTTTCCTTGCTGAGTGACATTGTAGCCCAGCGCTTAAACCCCGTCCAAGGCTCCAATGGACATAGCTCCCGTTCTTCAGGAGATCGCTATTGCAAGTTCGAAACGCTAACAGTAGCGTCTGTGGGTCCTTGGGTGCATTTGTATGGTATGGTGACAGCATCATAAACTTCATCTTTGTTGTGAAAAATGCAATTTGCACCATCAAGCATAATTCCTCCAGGTCCACCAGAAAACATCTGTACCCGAATAATTTCTTGCTCCCCATGACTCCCGTGACCGGCCCACAAACGACTTACGCTCACAAAAACCCAACCCGTAGACACTTCTAGTCTCATTTCAGGCACTTGGTGTCCCGACGATTGATCTACTACTTTGGAGGCCGCTGAAGGAGCAGCAAAATTAGGATCACCAGTCGCGACGTAACTTGATTTCAGGTCACGCTTAATTTGCTTGTAAATGGTGGTCCGCTGAAATTCACAATAATTTTGCTCAGTAATTACTAATATAGACATTAAAAATTAATATTCATCAGACATGATTGCGCCTTACTCAATCTGTTGATAGAAGCGTCATTAGGCTATCAGACCTTGTTCCACTCCCAGTAACTTAAGGGTAACCATGTTAACTAACACACTCAGAAGGGGAAGACATAGAAAACGCTTTGGATTACGTATCACAATCAACCAGGTGTTTTGTTTAGGAGGCGATGTCAGGACTCGTACTCCAGCCTGAAGCCTCTTCAGTAGATAAGTTTTCTTCAAGTGGCCTGCATAAATAAGGTTAATTAGTCAGATCGTTCAAGGATGACATTTTGCTGTATCCAGAAATGTTTAAAGGCCGACCATGTAAGGAAAGTAACATGTATTTTAGTTTGATAAGATTATTCGGTTAGGGAAATGCGCCCATGAATGTGTCATATTGTTACTGAATTAGCGATGACTATTACTTCCAAATAAGGGAGCATGCCCCGCCTACAACTTCTGGCCACGTGATGAAGGGGTTATTCCTGATCGATTCATTGGTAAGAACATGACTGAAAGACCATAAAAGCTCCCGATACTGACGGCAGGAAAGAAAAGGCTCTTCATCAGGGTCCCATTTCAAGGGGATGCACCAAGTGAACTTTTAAGAAGACGCCTAACTCAAGCTGTATCACAGACTATTCCAGCAGCCGACACCCGTGTACTGTTCTCCATCAGTCCCACCCTGTACGCAGAGGGTAAGGACAACCTACTAGCTCAGACCACCTCTTTGTGTGCACCTCCTCCTGTGGGGCAGAATATATCGGCCACACGAACCGGTGTTTATCCAAAAGAATAAAAGAACATCTTCCAGCATGGTTAAGTAAGGTGAAATAAAGAACATCAACAGCTCAATCCTCGCTCACATGGTAAACACAGATCACCGTGTAGACGCCGGAGAGGCCTTCGAGGCGATTTACCAGGTCCCATCAAACTATCGAAAACAACTTGGGCAGCGCTTGTTGGCTACGACAGAGGCGGCTGCGATCAGGCTACGCGAACCGGTTCTATGAGCACAAAAGAACTTAATACAGGTCCCACAGTTGCCATGGGTCAGAGCCACCAAGCCAGTCACCCGCATGTAATTACCTTCGCTGAGACCCACCTTCTCGCTAATGTTGGCTGGAATTGTGGTGTTTCACTCTCACCCTCCCCTCCGTTCCCGAAACACGAGCTACAGCACAAATATCTACTTGTTCGTATATTTGAATTCATTTCTTCAATGGCCATATAAATGTACAGGCCTGAAGAGAATTTATCAAAAGCATACGTATGCCTTTTGAAGCTATTCTTAACGTTGTCGGTTGTTCTGTTTCGCGTAGTTTGTTGCCATTCTGTTAGGACAGCAAATACTGAATGCAGAAAAGGATAAACACGTTTACAATTTTAATCAAAGGGGACTTTGCCTTTGAGTTTCAGAATCATCCACCTACTCTAGGTTTCTAAATTGATGAAAACAAAGCGTAAGGTAAATTCATACCAATACGAAAGACACCTATGGCAAATTTCCAATCATAATGAGCTGGTGGTGTCCTAGTCCTTTAATAAGTCTTATTTTCTTTCGTGTCTTCACTTATTCTAAACTATCCGTGTTTCGCATGGGCGGGGTTCATGGGAATTGCTGACGTACGAGGGCCCTCGTAAGTTAGCTGTGCGCTCGAACTCTTTTTGCTTACATGGGTTAGCATGGCATGAATATTCCCGCGCCGACTCCAGTGCGAATCCTATCCAGAGTCTCTACATAATTTAGATGTTGAACGCAAAAATTTGGACTACCCCACCAGCTGCCGCTCGCCTTGTTTAAACGCGTGTTTGCGTCTTCTTACTTTCGCTGGCTGTCAGATGTCTCTCCTGCGGAGTTTGTTTGCTGCGGCCGTGAAGGCTCCATCCTCCGTATCACGAGTGAGTCTCCCAGGATTTTTATTAAGTTGAAGTTATTTATGTCACCCCATGATTTACCCTACTAAATTCGCTCACATTCCGTCGCAACTTCGCTTCGGGAGACTTAAGTCTCCCTTCCCCTCCGACAATGCTTGAGGAAGTGCTAGGAACTGGAGTTTCCAGCGCCACTTCGGGAGAACTTTCTGGTTTTACTTTTCGTTGTTTCAAAGTATTTGAGCTGCGTCTCTATCCGGCGTGTTCTGGAAATGCGTTCCCTCGCCGAGGCGCCTAGTTGCGCATTAGCATTAAGCGGTCGCGATTTAAGTTTAAATCCCTTTCTTGTTGCACGTTATCTTTTACGATATCGTGGTCGCTTTTAGTTTGCTTCCGGTTTACGCGCAGAATAGCCCCGTCCACTCTGGTGGACGCGCGCCGGCGCACAGGTCCGTCTGATGCTCTTGCTTCTTTGAGTAATCACTCAAACTGGGCAGCTTCCGGGGTTATTGGAGGTAGGGGCACTTTTCTTGCGTAAGTAAACGATGCGTGGCTGTTGTGCCGTCCTCTACTTACGACGTTCCGCTCCTGACGTCCTAATTTTGTCTTCAACTTCATCACATCACGCATCACATTGCTGTTAGTATATAGCTATTTAGGTGATGGATGACTTCACCATTTAGTGTCGGCATTTTTCGTATATCTTTCTCGAACTAAACATTCGCATTTTAGGTCACCCCGGTCGCTATCAATGGATGTAAACATCTTTCAACGTCACACAAACTGCTCGCTCAGTCCCCTGAATTTTCGAGCATTTTGGAAGAACGAATCCTTGGGCAGTCTCAGAAAATTAATTTAGAGGAGACCGGCCGCGTCTTGAGCATCGGTGACGGTACAGCACGTGTATACGGCCTTAAAAACATCCAAGCTGAAGAGATGGTAGAATTTTCGTCCGGACTTAAGGTATTTTTCATGTGCTAATTAAACAACTTCCTAGGGCATGGCTCTCAACTTGGAACCGGACAACGTTGGTGTTGTCGTTTTTGGTAATGACAAGTTGATCAAGGAGGGTGACATCGTTAAACGTGCTGGAGCCATCGTTGACGTTCCGGTAGGAGAGGAGCTGCTTGGTCGTGTTGTGGATGCCTTAGGTAATCCGATCGACGGCCTCGGTGCCATAGCCACTAAGGCCCGCAGGAGAGTCGGTACCAAGGCCCCTGGCATCATACCGCGAACATCAGTCAAGGAGCCTATGCAGACCGGTATGAAGGCCGTTGACAGCCTTGTTCCCATCGGTCGCGGTCAGCGAGAGCTCATCATTGGTGATCGTCAGACGGGAAAAACCGCCATCGCCATCGACACCATTATCAACCAAAAGCGCTTCAACGAAGGAGCCGACGAAAAGAAGAAACTTTATTGCATTTACGTTGCGATCGGCCAGAAGAGGTCTACCGTTGCTCAGCTTGTAAAGAGGCTGACCGTTGCGGGTGCCATGAAGTACACAATCGTCGTTTCGGCGACTGCCTCTGACGCAGCGCCCCTTCAGTATCTCGCGCCTTACTCTGGCTGTGCCATGGGCGAGTACTTTCGCGACAACGGGAAGCACGCCCTCATAATCTACGACGACCTTTCCAAGCAGGCTGTTGCCTACCGTCAGATGTCGTTGCTTCTGCGTCGCCCCCCAGGCCGAGAAGCGTACCCTGGTGATGTCTTCTATTTGCATTCTCGCCTGTTAGAGCGTGCTGCCAAAATGAACGACAGTTATGGTGGTGGCTCACTTACCGCACTTCCGGTTATCGAGACTCAGGTATGTTTGGACGTTTTCGAATTCACACTTCTTAGGCTGGTGATGTGTCCGCATACATCCCTACCAATGTGATTTCTATCACCGACGGACAAATCTTTTTGGAGAGTGAACTGTTCTACAAGGGCATCCGTCCGGCGATTAACGTCGGTTTGTCTGTTAGCCGAGTCGGCTCTGCCGCTCAGACCAAGGCCATGAAGCAGGTTGCCGGCCGTATGAAGTTAGAGCTCGCTCAGTACCGGGAAGTTGCCGCCTTCGCTCAGTTCGGCTCCGACTTGGATGCCAGCACACAAGCGCTCCTGAACCGTGGCGTTCGCCTGACCGAACTTTTGAAACAAAATCAATATGGTAAGGTCTAAAACTTGGTGTAATATTTTCTCTAGTCCCTATGTCCATTGAGGAGCAAGTTGTCGTTATCTACTCTGGCGTACGCGGTCATCTTGACAAAATGGACCCTGCCAAGATCACAAAGTTCGAAAGCGATTTCCTGAAGTACTTCTTGGCGAACCATCAGGATATCTTGAAGACGCTCCGCGAAGTCGGCGAAATCTCTCCCGAACTTGACGCCAAACTAAAGAAGATTGTCACCGACTTCTTGGGTGGATACCAGGCCTAAGTTACCATCAATTAAATAAGATTCGACCAAAAGAACCGATGATCTGTTGTTGTTAGATGGCGTCGTAAGTTTTATACATCACCCGTTAGCAGTTTTGACACTCCTAGTAACTTATCTTTACCGTGCGCCGCTTTACTTCAATAAAAGTGCTTTGGCGATGTCAAACCGAACTTCATGAGAGACTGTCTTTTTTTATTCTCGGAAACCCTCTTATTGTTTTTGCCTGGTACGGCATTTGACCATCCCACATATTCGTACCTCAGGAAGGCTGCTTATCTACGTCCATGGCTTTATTATGTAGACTGAAATTTTACGTTTACCACCGCAGGCAGATCTCAAGGTTGAGGATCGATTACTCTTTCTGTCGTCTCACGAGTAGCTTTATTCACCCACGTAGTCGCTTTTACCATTTTTTCTAAAGAACGGACGGTTTTGCGCTCTGAAAACGTTTGTTTACGTTTTCCCCTTACATCCTCGTCTCTTTAGATCACGGGGTTGGGGATTGTTTTTCGTCCGTGGCTGTCGCTTTTCTATGTGCTAAACTGCCATTTGTGGAGTCCCATACAGTCCCAAGTTCGAGCGTGCTAAAAACCCGTCCGCGAAGCAGGACACCCGTGATCACGAACAACTATCACGAGTCGCATGTAACAAATTTGCCGCGACTATATATGCGGCGGAAGGGGATTTATATCGGATCTCCTACTATGGTACTGCTGAGGGGCACATCGCTGCAGTTCATAGCCCACTTTCGCGCCCTCTCGCCGTTGAAGAATTATCAGGGACGTTGGGCTCTTTGCATGCGGTGACAATTTTGAGCCTCATACGTAACCCTGTCTGTGTTAGGTTCTATTGCATATAATTGGTGACCTCAGTACGAAGGCCGTATCCTCCTGTAAGCTGTGTTACGAAATTGAAACCTTGGAGGTATGGACAGGGTTTACAACCGTTTGCCCACCGGAAATCCACCACCCCGACCATTAAGATGTGTACATGCTAGATGCTCAGGAGTGGTGCCCGCTATGTCCTCAGAATCCTGTCCTTGAAGTATTGGTGGTCGCGGGCCTCGAGCCTTCTGTCCTACTGATGATTCGTACAGCTGTGATCATGCCTGACCTAGCCGGCCTGTATGTCGCAGATTTTACTCCCACGCGCTTGGATCCGCGGTAGCGGATCGGGACAGCTCGGTCCACCCCTCCAGCGACGAAGATTGAACACCGAAGGTCCGAGAAACTTTGTCGACCCAGGTTTTACTTTGGCCTCCTTCGACGCCTCTAGGTGGACAACGGCGCCGGATTAAGACAGCACACTACAGCTTGCTGCATGTAGGTCGCTGTTTCGGCTCACTATTCCTACGGATCATCCCCAGTCAACTTTGTCGCCATTTTCTGAGGCTGACGGAAAGAAACATCGTTGCGAGACCTGGCTCGAGCCGTCCGAGCAGACAACTGCATGGTTTTCCCGCCGATCCAGTCACTGCGGCGCCAATGGATGAATCCAAAAAGTTTCAGCTGCTCATAGATTGACGACTTTAATGATGACCCTTTATTACTGCTTATACCCTCGGCCCGGGTCGTAAAGTGGGGTCGAATTTCTGCGTTCGGGGCCTCGACGCTCCTGGGTTGTAGTTTTAAGAGATCAAGGCACTTTGCACGTGACCTCATAGGCGTGAACGTGAACATGGCCTGACCAATGGGCGTTAGCAGTTTCGGTACCACGCGTCGATCAGCTATCGTGATCCCACTAGAATGTGGTCGATCTGAATGATCGTATGGCCATAGATTGGATACCCAGTCAGTAGATGCTTGTTGTGACGCCAAAAGAACGTGTTGATGACAGCCAGTTCCGCTAAACAAAATTCACCATTGTCGCATCAGTGGCGAAGCCCAAAGCTGCCAATAAGGTGGTTCAAGAGTCCCGGCGTCTAATCTGGCCATTCCAGTCTCCGACAGCATTCAACTAATCACAACGAGGAAGACCTTCAATCAACGCACGCAACTGCGAGCAGATTTATCGCGCTGTTCGGCAGCTGATGTTGGTGCGTACGCGAGGACTACATATATGCCCGTAAAGTGACCCTTCAGTCGCACGTAAGCTATCTGCTCATCGATTGATTCCTATGCAGGCAGCGCGCGGTTCGCTTGTTGCGAAAAGAGTCGCGTGGGTCTGTGCGACACGACGAAGTGGGAGTTACTCCCAGAGTCTTTATGATAGGCCCCCAAGGGTATTAGATAAAAACAATTTATTTTCTACTTATTTATTTCCTGCTCGTCTGAGTCGGATATCCGGACTTCGGCGGGCAGCAGACATCCATGTTTCACTGATGAAAGTTGCATGCCGTCAGACCCACAAGCATCCGCACATTTCAGCATCCAGTATCGGTAGTCCACTCTCGATTGCATAGCTTCGCTCTAATATCACTCGCTGGCATCGCTGGATCAGGGTTGCGGAGCGCTTCGACTCCCATGGATGCCGCAGCATGGATCTTAATACTTGATTCTGACTTTTGGGGGGAATTGAGTACCGGTGGGCCCTCAACAACCACTCACCTTGTCTGTTCCAGGTTGTTTACTGTAGCGTTTTAGTTCAAAGGCCTAGGCACAAGGCAGCAGTGCCAAGCGAACTGACCGGATGACGGTTCACTGTCGCACATCAGTGCTGTCATTGGTCTTTTTGGCAGCCGACACACCGGGCGTCACCCTCCGTACCCTGATAACACTACCTCTGCTGGTCCGCGAATGCCTATTTGTTAAACTCGAGGGCCGGCTTATTTTGCATCTAACCTTCGTTGAAGGCCTTTTGCTGTCTGCCACCAGTGAGGGCGTCGGCTATCCAACAACTAAGCTAACAGGTAGCTCGACTTGTGCGTCCTGGACTAAAGTTTCTAGGAAGAGGGTAGAAAATAAAGCTCACTACCAATATATTACTGAATGTCCAAAAGCTACTTGTATGTGTCGTTGTGGAGCCGAGATATTATGCACTTCCGGCTTGTATGAATTAAAAGGAGCCTCAGGCAAAATCATGCTCCCGTGCATTTCCAGCTTATCGTCACCCTCTGAGTGACGCGTACCTCTGTGGAAGTTGTTACAACCCGTCACTAGACAAGATGAGGCAAGCGAATGTGTTGTCCCACTAGATCATGAGCGACCGTAGAGGTTACGCTCACCGGAACCAAGGGAGACTATCCTAGGACGGCTTCCTATCATTTCAACAAATATAGTCGTGACTCTCCGGATCGCATCTATCCTGCCCTTCATATTTTTGTGGTCACCTACATAAGCCCGCTAAGTGAGTGTTCCGGTGTTTAAACCTCACCAAAATGGGCTCTGTTGCAACGGTCAGCTGAGACGTACACTGGAAAAACCCTGCGGCAAGAAATCGCATGGTATTATTTGATATAACATCTGTCCTACAGTGCTTGCCAGTCAAAACTTTGCGAATAACTGTAGATAAACAAGACACCAGCCTGGGTACAGATCATCTATCTGCCCAAGTTCCGTGTCAAAACGCATTTGGCCCTCGAGGGTGACTGTATATGACAATAATGATAAACGTGCCAGAACGCCACCCGCTGTCGGAATTCTGGCGCCGTCACAAATTGGCAGACTTTAATTCGAGAACGCAAGTGATCACACAAGTTTCTGCGTAGCGACCTCTTGTTGACAAACGACGGCTTTATTGTCTTTGGGATATTTAGTAACCGCCCAACGAATGCCATCTTCCTACTTTGCTGCCTGGGAACCCTCGCATGCTTGCCCGATGTTCTCCCGCTTCACTACAAAACCGTGGGATTCGGTGCCTTAATGAGTCCCTTACTGTGAACTGGACGAACATTGCAAGCAAGCAGTATGTACTTTGCTAGACAAAAAGGGAGTTTTTCCCCACGCTAGCCCAGTCATGGGCTTCGCTAAAGTTTTGTCGCATCGTGACGCGAGTCCTAGGCGTCTAGATGAACTTGGCTGAGCTGCATCGGGCTTGGGAGGGGTGACTGGTGACTAGATAGCCAAACTCTTCATAATTGTACCACTCAGCGGTACGTCTTCGGAATACGTCTAGGCCCCTTGCTATTACGCGGATGGAGGTATAGCCATACCATGTCGTTATCCAATCTATTGTTCTCCACTGAAGCAACTATTGTCACTTCAGTGCCAACCCTCCCAACTTTCACGAGAAATATGCTGCGGTCGCGTTGAGACGTTGCAAGGCCGGACCTTTTGTAATGCTGTAGCGGGTGTTGCCGTTTAACCTCACTGCAGCCCCCCCCTCTTCGGGTACTTGAATCCAGTCAACGTTGTCTACTGACCGTCACAAAAAGAACTACGGGTTGGCTTTACACAGCGGCTTAATCAAATGAACAAAAAATTCAGTGTCATCGCTTAGACTCGTTTCCTAAAAATTGAATTGTCAGGGAAGTGTTGACTACAAGTCTTTAAATTCCTGGAAAATCTTAGGTTCTCTCTCGGAAAATGTGTTTTCTCAGTTTCTAGAAATTCATCAAGAAAACCGAATTCTGCCGCGTCCGAAAACGAGGGGAAACCATAACTGCCTAAACAAGTAACAGGGGTGAGACCTATGCAGGGGATAGTCCTCAAAAATAAAAGATTAATGAGATTAGAGGTAGACTAAGACACAGAGTAACTTCGACGACAACTGCTTCGGCTGATTCATGCCCGCCTTACCTCGCCATACTCCTGAGCTACCTGCCACCGGAAATGCAAACGTGTGCACACACTTCACATTCACTCCGTCTTTGTCGGCAATGGTTCACCTGGCCGTCATGTGGTCTGGTAACTATTCGCCTGATTGAGACTGATGCCATTCTTTCTGCAGTTACGTTGTACGAGGCCAGGCGGATTGGCTTACACTTAATATCATCGGGAGAACGTTTGCGAGAATTGTCCCGATGCACCAATTCCTGTCGCCTGGCTGTCAAGCAGTGTCGCACGGACAGTCAAGACTACTGCGGACGTGCCGCCAACACACAGATGTTCCAGGCTACCAATTGGGCGTCCAGTTGCGTCAAATCGCGACAACGCTCACAAGTGGGTGTCATAATAAGCCCACCGGTCGGCAGTGATTGTCACCAATTTCTCGGAGGAATAACGCTGGCTAGGGTAGAACCTACCGCTATAATTTCCGAAGATATAGTAGATGTGCAATGTCGTGAAATGTTGGCCTAAATTCTGAGTTGTGCTTTCGATTCGAAAGGCTAACCTAATTAGGACTGTAATTAACATGACCGTGCAGCAGACTCCCAAGGTATCCCAGTCATGTGGAGATACCGGCTTCCGAAGAAGCCTCTTTCCGGCCGCCTGCAAAGGCCACACTATAAGAGTGACTACTTAAATAATATGGGTTCTTCTCATTCATTCTCGATGTACTTATTGATGTATTTATGTAAACATGCACAGGAATATTCGTCCTCACCCGGTAGCAAATTACATCTTTGTTAAATTTCATACTTAAATTAAGAGTAATATTCTGTCTTAAAATTTTTCAATTCCCGGATAATCTTGAATCCGGCCTGGCGTTACACTTGCGTCCAGGTTTCCAAACCAGAAAGTGCATGTTTTCCGTGTAGGGAGAGTCATCTGTACATTTATGTACACTATTGAAACACTACATGAGGTTCATAAAATTTTGCGGCGGACTTGAACCATATTGCACACTTTACGAACAACACGAATAAATGCAGAGATGCGATGTTTTATGAGTGGACATCTCACAGTCTTCAAGAATCTCGCAATTCAAAACTTTTCTTAGCCTGAGATACTCCTTTTTTGAAGTATGAAGTCTAAAGAAGACGTAGTTGGCTACCAAATGAGTAAAAGGATGAATACTGTTGTGCACGTTCTCTGTAAAATATATTTGATTTTATATGGGCATCGAAAATCAATTAGAAAAATTCATGCTGCTTGAGCAATCGTTTTTCACAGAATAGTTTTTGCAGGCGACCGGAAAGAAGCTGGTCCAAAAGACGGCATCCGGACACGACTCCAATAACTTCTAATTATGCCGCACCTTAAGTAACTTTTTCGAGCGGAGATATTTCAGAATTTCGGCTAACACTCAATGACAGCACATCCACTGCTTATATTGATGCGCGAACCTTCGAACCCTCCAGTCAGTTTGCACGTACAGACAACACTGGCAGTAGCACAGCCTCGAAAATCGCAGTCCGTTGAAGCGGGTGTATCCGACTGACTGTAATTCACATCGCAGTTTTCACGCAACCAATCATAGCCAAGGAATGGCAGTTTTCGTTCGTGCCCACGAAACCCGTACGTTAAATCTAATGTGGTAGAGGAATAGTGGATGAGCATTCCTGTTGTTTTGAAAGCCCATTTTCCGCCACTGCTGTCAGCATCACTTAAAACACGGTTCTTTCGTACCACACCAGAGCACGTTGTAAGTCAACGAGTCACGATTTGATAAACGAATTTCGTGATCGGTGTGCTCTGGCGGGGGTCTGCGCCAATTATAAGTGCGCGAGCGGCAATGTCGCACAAACACGGCATTGACAGACTCCATCACCTTCCCGACGCCACATTTCTGTCATGCTTCGCGTAGGCGTTGATCGTGCTAAATGGCACAGAATACCTCATACGGCGTATATCGGACTCGGATAGAACTGGCGGGCTGACCAACCGGTGCAAATGTGAAAGTGCGAGGGCACGTGGTAAACGGGAAGTCATAAGCCGTGGTTGGCGTAGGGTCTAGCCCACGTACCGTTAGGTAGTTTGATCCTGAGCCAAGTGAATGGGTGCTTCGATCATATCAGTAGGACGATTTGAAGAATTCTTAGGTCGGGCTGGGAAGTAAGGGTTCTTCTCTACCGTTACCCGGAAAGCTTACTAGGCTATAGCAGTCGTGCATTGAGTCTCTGTACTATCGTCTTAACCAATTTAACTCAACTTTTGGCAGTCCTTTTTGATCCTAGGCAGTTTGTGCCGTCACGATTTCTTTCAGTCAGAAATGGCGGCCGACAGTTTGCTTACGAATGTAAGTAACCTCTGTCATTTCCTCCTTTCTGTCTCGGACAAACTTAAGGACGACAAATGCACTTCCATGACTATCGTGGTGCGAGTACCGAGTTAAAAACTCGCACGTTTAGGTAACTGACGTGACATGGGTCCTTTGTTGATACAGCGGCAACGGTAGATAAAAACGGTGCTAGGATGCTCTCCAAAAAATAAAAACCTATCGCAGTGGTTGGAAGGGACGATCGAGTGCGGTTTAAAGTATGAAGAAAAAATATGATCGCGTGTCTGGATCTCCGTGTCTCTGCCTCTGACTACAGAACTCGAATAAAACCTACAAAATCGGCCAAATTTCCTACGATATATAAAAGACGTTTTCTGAACAACGGACAGCATCGCCGCGGGACTCGGTGTTTTTTCACTAATTGACCTGGGTCTAGCGGGTGAGTCGTGCGACAAATAGACCAAGTGAAGGCGGTTAGCAATCAGATATCTTCGAACGCTCCGTCTAGATGGTCCCTACAGATAGAGCTCAAACGTCTGAGCTCAGACATAATCGAAGAAGTCGGCGGTACGGAGGGGTTGCGATAAGTCGCCGCTACACCTTTGATACCAGTGAAACGTTGCAGTTTACGAGTACAAAGATAATCGCGTGAATCAATGGAGAGAGGGTCGACAGAGGACCGGTGTACTGATTTATCAACCGCCCATAGCGCCTTACGATTACATCGCGGCCTTATTTATGGACAATGATGGCACAACAGGTAATACAACCTTCTAATCCGTCGTTTACAGTCGACGATGGACCTTAGAGAGAACCGGAGGACTCGTAAAGAAATGGTAATGCCGACAATCGACTCGTCCGTCGTCTTATTGAGTGAAGCATAAGCCAGGAATGCATGAAAATAGGACCGCACGCATTAAGGTGGTGACTAACTGACAAAGGTAGCTCATGAAGCCGGCCCAATGTCTTGGGATGGAAAAACGAGACAGCAGCTGACATCAACCTCGACGGCTTAGGCGCAGAACTGAGTCCTCCGGTCGGTAGTATCGGAGGAAAATAATGAAGGGAATGTGCCGGTACAAATCATTCTTGTGATTGAGTCCTACTAATGACTCATTTCGGCGGGGCTGCACCTAATCATCCATTGCCTCTAGCAAAACACTGCATATCTGAAGAGGGCCTACGCGATAGTGACGAGGATAGTTATCTAGCTGAGGCCTGGGCGATTTCGAACATGCCGATGTCGCCCTACTGGCACCAAGCGGTGAGAACACACGATGTGCCGCGCCTCGGCTGAGTAACGTCGCTAGGTCGGCTAAGTTATAAGTGCACCTTGGTCAGCAAAGGGCAACCCGTGATTAAGGGCTTGCAGCGCGGACTGAACACTTCCTAACATCAGTGGACCAAGTTGCTAGTGAGATGCCAGGTTAAGAAATGCATCTTTGCCTAGAACGATGCCGACCAAAAGATTTTTGGTAGTCGTGGTCATGATGTTTAAATAATTAGCGTAAACGTAAAACATATCCGTGGTCAGACGACACCCATCGCCCTAAGTCCTAGGTTAGGGCGAAAGCTTGATCTTCCAGCACGTGCACGAGAAGACCCTTTGGATTAATCATAGCTCGTAAAGCTCTCCATCATCCCATTATTGGACGTTCTTCATCCGACTTGTACCTTTTGAGAACAGACCGAGCTCGGGGATCTACTGCCACCAATCGCCACGCACGGAGTGACTCCAGGCAGGACATCTTCGAAGCTGAAGAGACCGTCAAAATTTCAAGCGTGGGAAACGAAAAAATACTATCAGTTATGGCACATGCACACAGTCCCACCGCGCGGCCTGTGTACGTCTGACCCGCCCTGCCATGCGGCTTCGATCTTTCCTAATCTCCGTGAATATTCGATATAGGTCGACGTATTCTGCATTGTGCATATTCGCAGTCCTAGCAAGCAGTTATTGGTTTCCGGCCGCAGGTTCGCTTTGAGTCCTGACTACCAATTAAACGGGTAGACGGTCGTACGCATCGTCTGCTGATAAAGTAGGTTGTGCACGTCGATCATTGTAATCCGAGAAGAGAACACAACAAGGGAATGTGCAGACATGCATCTATAGCAAAAAGCATTTAATTGTGCAATGGTAAGACTCCGACAACTGCAAATAGCCTGAGGGTCGAGTGTAATCACGACAATAATGAGGCAGTGCGGAAGGATATGCATCGTCTAAGGGCGTTACCGGTATCGTAAGTGAGGGGGCGTACGGGGTTAGGGTTTTTGGGCACTCGGCTCCACCGAGACGCGATCGGAAGGCGGTCGTTCGGGAATCGGTTCGAGAACCCTTGGAATCTGGGGCGGAGGTTGGCAAGAGTCCTCTTTTAAAGTGGGGGACGGGAAGTCCAGAAGCGAGGACTGGTAGACCGGAGGCATTGGAAGCTTTTCCCTTAGAACCTGCAGTGCCAGTTGCCTGGGCGAAGCAAAAAACAATGCGAAATAGGGATTGGGGATTTCGCACAACCCTCTATCTTTGGTTGAACATTAAGCGCATAGTCATCATTAGTAGAACCACAAATAACGGTGACAGTAAAGTTGTCAGTGGCTCCTCTTGATGGAAGTAGTATTGATAAACCGACTGCCCAAGACGGTAAAGGAGGTCCTGACGCTAGTTGGAGGAGGCGATGAAAAATCATCTTCAAACCCAACTAAGGATGGTCTTGTTATCAACTAAACTGTATGTTACTGAACGTAGTTGACTGAGGGCCTGTTCGAAAGTACTCTCCACCCTTTACGATCACCGGAAAAGCCTACTGTAAACGCTACATAAGTTTCACGAAATGCCACAAGACCGAGAACCGTGAAAATGGCTTCAGCTGAGAATTGTACACAAATTTAGTCACGGCTTCTCTTTAGAGTGAAGGCCCACACCGCACACTACATATCGCCTCTTATTCTTCGGGCAAAAGTGCACTGGATAGCATGCAAAGCAGAAACCATGGAAGCGAAGAGGCGACAACGACATAAGCAGCCGGCTAAAGCAAAGTTTTAACTTACCGGAAATTTTTTGTCTTTCTGAGGTAAGTTCATTTTCCCATTTAAATCATTACCGCTTGAGAGACATGGGTTTCATTCATATTGACCCATCTGTGAAAAATTCGGCGCCTCGGTGGGATTCGAACCCACGCAGTAAGGGGGAAGGCTTTAGTACAGCCAACGCTCTAACCACCTGAGCTACGAGGCCCCGCCGGACGACGCGAGTTTTATCACACTTGGGTCATGGGTTTATTCTGTAGGGAACTATCCGGCTTGGGTAAAACGCCGATTGCAAATATGCGGGATTCGATCGTTTGCACTAGGCGATATAGTTGTTGGAAATAGGCATTATTCACGCTGCTTGACCAGCCTGCAAACGGACCTGATGAGCCAGACCAGTCAAACCATCTCACTTAGACATGAATGACTCACAAATACTCGAATAATCTAAAAAGTGTTGACAAATGACATCTCGGAAACTTTCATCCATTCCAATGGGAAAGTGGTGAAATAGGGGGCAAATGAGGCACAATTTAAAATGACTGTAGGGTCAGCCTGCTTTTGTCAGAAAATTTTGCAAACCTAGCGTTTGGGCAGAAAAATGGCTCTAAATGAATTCGACGCGACAGATGACACCACTGCGTGCACCAGTCTCTCGAAAGAGGTAGCGTTCTAAACAATGTGGCCAAACGATTTGTGGAATAGGAAACAACCTTTGGGATATACGCATCCAACTACCTCATAAACTATTTTTCTAAGTCATGGAAAATTTGGCGAGAGTAAGGGCTATTTAGTTGAGACGGTGGACCGCGAAATAAAAGACGAATGCACACACCTGCGTCGATTGGAAGGGTCAGATTCCACGATTTTCACCGATACATTTTCAGCTGCAAAGACCATGGTTGGTGGGGACTGACGGCAAAAACGTATACGAACCAGGAGATTATAAATGGTGTTCGATGCTATTGAAATCGGAGGCTCTAAATGATTGGGGAAAAAACTGACGTAAATAAAAAATAGAATCACTACCCAGAGAACCTGAAGGCATCCGTGGTGTCACCGACATCGCCATTTGGATGCTTCTGGTAGAAACGGAGATAAACCCAGCTAATGATAACTCCTGAGAATATTCCAATGACAGGAACGAAGTACAGAATGTGAAAGGCAGCGCCCAGAGACACGACTAATAGAAATGTAAATGGGACATGTTTTGTCCGAAACTTCCCTAGCGGAAGTTTAGCAAGGACGGTGTCGGGTGTGAGTTGACGAGCTGCAACAAGAACACCGCCCAACAATGGACATAAACCATGAATGGGAACATTCCACAGAAGATCAAGATCAAAGGATATGGCATAGCCAATGAAAAGGATAAATACAGATAAGAGAGCCGAAATTAACTGAATGATAATGCAGAACTTGGAAACTTCGAGCAGCTTCCATGAGGGAATCACAATAATATACGCAAGGTACACGGTTATCGCATCCGAAAGGACACCCAGTACACTTGAATTGTAAAAACTGAAAGTGACAAGCGTCCAGACCCAACAATATGGAGGAAGAATACGAGCAACGGTGACAGCGAGATACTTTTCGGTAAATCCGAGGTACGACAGGCCGTAGAAAGAGAATAAGACAATCGTTAGAGGAACGATGACAACGCTGAACGGATTCAAACTAAATAAGCGGAAGTGTCCTAAATGTGATGCAGGCTTATACATTTGTCAGTTCGGACTCGCCGTTGTGACTTTCTCAATTAATTACATGGAGGCACGCGAACGCGAGTGAAAGTAACACAAATGCGATTGATTAATAAACGAGATATGCGGACGGGTTTCCGAGTGCTGAATAGTGATTGGTCAAACACTTTCATGCCAGCCGCGACGGCTTCTAGGACTATTCTTGAGTTTGAATTTTGTGAAATTAGTTTTAAGTGATACTTCCAATCACTGAGAGACCCCGAAGGTGTCATTAAGAAACTCAATCAATTGAAAACCTTGGTCAAGTAAGAAGTCATTATATGGGTACCCGCTTTGAAATTTTCACGCAGCTAACCAACGATTTAGTTAGTTTTTGAGTATAGTTGACTAGCAAGTAGATTGGTTAGTATTGTTAGTTAGTCAGTATAGTTAACTGGTTATTTTGCTAGTTCGTAAGTTAGTTAGTTAGTTAGATAGTTATTTGGTTATTTATTTCGTTAGTATAATTAGTTAGTGGGTTAGCATAGTTAGTTAGTCGCTTGGTTAGTCAGTTAGTTGGTTAGTTAGTTTGATTGTCAGTTAGTTGGTTAGTTAGTATAATTAATTAGTGCGCTAGCATAGTTAGTTAGTTAGTTGGTTAGTTAGGTAGTTGGTTAGTATAGCTAGTTAGTCGGTTAGTTAGATAGTAAGTAATTAAGTTTGTTAGTTAAACATTTATTAATTAGCTAACTAGCTATTTTTCCACGACCATGCCCCACAGCAAAGGACCAGACGCACAGACTATGTGCCTTCTTTAGAGATATTTTCCATAATGAAGTGTACGACAGTTACGAGTACCTAATGTTAGCAGTACGAGAATGCGAGACCTGAACGATTATAACAGTCCTATTCCTTTGCAGGACTCCTAAACCAGCTTCGGTAGACGAAGAGTGACAAAGTCCCGTCCGGCCATTCTCTGGTTGGCACATTGAAGTTTCGCCATGTATACTCCATGTGTTGCCATTCTGGGGTTTTTCGTAGCTGCGGCTCCCCGAAAAACTCAACGTAAGCAGCTGATGCTGAGTTTCAAACGGTTTAGGTCTCTGAAGTTTGATTGCACGGCATGCCTTACCACCATGGTTACTAAGGACAAACTGCGGACGAATGCGCTTAATCTGCGTCACAACCTTTTATGCAGTAAGCAGATGGCCTCAGCTTACCCCAACTTCCGGCGTTTGGCGGCGCAGGACGAAAAATATCTGCTACATATGATGCTAACCTGAGCTCAAGTTTTGAGCCCTCACTGCTCCATGCAGCGCGCCGTTCGGAGAAATTCGCCCTACGGTCCGCGTCAACACAGACGCAGCTGCACTTCCTTCATCGCTGCCTTGATCAAAAATTGACTCCAAAATGTGTCACCTATAAGCCGCTTGTGAATTCAGCCTTGACAAGGGAGATTTTGGCGCGACACAGCAGAAGAATGACTAGAGTACTTATACATGATTACCATCAAATACTGCAGCGTTAGAGCCTAGAATTCGCTCAATCCAAATCATAATTCGAGGCAACTACTGGTGAAGGATCGAAGAAAATTGAGGAAACCATTCTCAATCATGCTCGAATGGTACGCGCCAAAAAGGAAAAAGAATTATCAGTATGGGCTCCCCCCATATCAGGGGTGAATGTTTAAGTGGCCCTTTAGTGGATAGAACACTAGGCCAGCAGGCCAAGTCAGCGAAAGAAGAAAAAAATCGATCTGCTCCAGCCCATCGAAGAGTTAGCCAATCAAGTCCCTAGATCCGGTGAGCACTTCATTTTCCTCAAACTGCTGCGTTTACGAGCAGGCGTCGTGTATTCGCGCACTTAGCTGCCTAACTAGCTCGCGTTTGCGTACTCGCCTATGCATGCGCGGTTGTGGGTGACGCGTATATCGCCTGACACGAATTAGACTTCGCGGCCTCAGGCGTCTCAATAATAGAAGTCAGTAGTGCAATTGTCGCGGCTTGCGAAGGCTTCAGGCCTTGCTGTTTGCAGTTGCGCTTAACTTTTCGTTCCCTGCCTGCGTTTCCTGCGTTATTATATCTTTGTAAATGATATGTAACATTTTTTATTTGCTTATTTTGTAGTTTTTACATTTACATTAGCGCTGTTTAAATGACCTGGGTTGGTTTCCTTTTTGGTTTTCTGGTTACGCGTTATTCGCGGCCCGATACCGCGCAGCCGCGAGATGGATTTCCAATTAGAGCCCAGGCGTGCAGGTTAACGAAGAAGAACAATTTGCGGAGTGTTTTCGCTGGCTATCATATGATTGGTCGAACATTTTCATACAGGCTCCAATGAAATTTACGAATCTTCGTAATTATAATTTTCGTGAAATTCCCTTTTGGTGAAACTTCCAGTTACTGGGCGACCCGGAAGATGCAATTAGGAAATTCGGCCATGTAGCAAATGTCAAATATTAGGTGACCGGCTCCTATGACACGGCAAGATGTGCCCGCGTATTTACGTAATTCACAAAAGACTGACAGAATTATGGTAACGTACTTTAGAGTTTACAAGAACCATGAATTCTGCCGACCGAAATGGTCAAAACGGCTAGAATTTTCAAAGAGACGGGCTTTCTGGATTTTCGTAGGTTAAGTCTTCGTTCTCGGATAAGTTGGTTTAGTTAATGTCCCCTAGCAGATATGCTGTAGTACTAAAGCAACCCCTGAAACTGCGTGCACGATCTAACTGTCTGATGCGAAAAATTCATACAGAATAGTAATGAAGTGCTGGTGCTCAGGGAGAGGAAATAACAGAAAGTAGGTTGAAATACGGCTACCCCTTTTAGACATTCCAGAATGTTTGCTAATCAATTTGGTTTATCATCGCTTTCAGCATCCAGCGGACCGTCGGGAAACGTCAGCCGGTTAGCTATGGCAGTAAAGCTGTTCCTGTCATTTGACCTGCTTAACTGGTGAACTGTACAGAAAACGCTGAAATTGACCATAGTCAGTTGGAAGGGTGTGTAATGAAACGAAATTTACCATCGCATTTCCATTATAATTATTATATTAGTTCGCTTTTCTAACATGCTTATCTTTGCCATTTAATTCTTTTAACTCAGGGACATTGTGTTTGTTCGATTATTTATTGGTCATGGGAGTGCGCGTACCGCTTGGTTTCTTTTAACGTTCCCGTCTAGTGCAAGTATATAGTCAACGAGGCTCAACAGGATAAGACGGAGACTAGTCGCTATTTTACTGAAGGACCTATGTGCAAAGAGGAACTAATGGAGGAATCCTAATTACAAAAATAAACTGAATCTGGGAGGATTTTCCACAGGGGCGGTTGAGAGCATTTGGTTCCAGCGTCAGTATCTGAGAAAGTAATTGTGAAGTGGAATCTCAGACGAAACAGCCCGATTTGGAGGGCAGAATAGAGCCTCTTGTGCACAGTCAGGTCCTGTGGTTTAGGAGAATTGATTGCGCATGGGTCATAGGGCTGGCGCCACCCCAATAAGATTTGGCTGTCTGAAAGAAGTCTGTGCGGTCAGGTGTGACTCTTAAATGCCTTCTACCGTAAGAACGTTAACGCTGTGTTCCTTAGCCTCAAGCTCCATTGGCCCATCAGGGTCAATATAAGCAGGCACTTGACACATCGAATTGGCCACGCTAAAGGAAATCGGTTAGACTAAGGTCAACAAGGAGAGCGTCCTTTGGTGGGGACGGGTTGACCTTGGAGCTGGGTTTTTGCAGGCCATGGCTGGCATTTCGGATAAAGCCATGAGACGCCGATAACCCGATCAAGTGTCGGTTATTCAGGAAGGTATTATAACGACACCCGGCTGTATTTTGTGCGCTTAATACAAACCCCACGACAATTTGAATGAAGGGCTTATAGTAGCCGAGCCTTGAAAAGCGGGTGAATAGTTATTATCGAGTTTGTCATATTTTAGACGTGCAACCTCGAAAACTACCTTCATTAAATTTTTTATTACAATTTGAACAAAAGGTTGCACATCCGGCTTGCGCATTTTTATACTTCGTCTCGATCGTTGTGCGATGTTGACCAAGCGTGAATTTGTCAAATAGACTCCTGTCCATGAAACAGAAAAACACCGGAATGGAGCTTTCGAAGATAATGGGGACTATGTGGTCACGCATTCACCACATAAACGGTCTCGGGCGCAACACCATGCTTGCTGCTTCGACGGAAATCTTGAGCCATGCCTGAGTGTACCTTGCCAATCAGCAATAGGTATCATTACCCAATAGCCAACACCTACATTTGCGGGCCTTATAAGTGTACCGACTGGACCGAAAAAGACCAGTTTGTTTTAATAAGAAAAAAATAAGAGATAGAAAGTGTGAGACAGAAGCTGTGAGTT